ATCTCTCTTGGACTTAAATTCATGAGTCTAGAGTCAGTCCTTGCCATGTTGCCTGTACATCCCAGGGAAGCCTAGGCATTCTTTCTGTTTGAGATTTAGAAAAACCATGGCTCCAAGACGAGTCACATTCACTTTTCCAGTAGAAAGTACTATATTTCTCACCAGGCATTTTGAGACTTGAGGCTTTTAGTTTGGTCACAGTTTCTTTGCAAATGACCATATTTCCTGCAATTGAAGCACCAGACATTTTGATATTGGAGACCTCTAGCTATAGCTTGACCTGTGATATCAGCGTGGTACACTAATATAGAACTAACATAGGTTTTATCCCTTATCCATTCATTCATGGGCACTGTCCATGACTTTAACGGTCTAATAACTTTTTATATTCAGTATTCACATTTTCATACACCAAGGTTTCTATCCACATCTGTCTGCATCAGGGACTGATGTGGCTTTATTCACAGCTAAGGCTAATCTTTGTTTAAAAAAAAAATCAGTGAAGGCTTCTTCAGAGCCTTATGTCCCAAGCTCTTAAAGCTGGGACATTGTTCTATAGAAGCTTCAAACTGGGTCTGCTCATGTATATCACAGGAGCATCCTTTGCCCAATAACTGATTATTAACTATATTCCTTCCCTTACTTTATTTCTCTGTTCAATATGCATGGCTCCTTCCTTCTACCATGTTAACCACCACAATTGTGGAATGGCCTCTAATACAGCTAGCACCAATTCCTTCTAGTCTTGGGGAATAATTCTATTTTGAGTAGCTCAGTTATTTAGAATTTGTTTTACAAAAGGTGAGGACGTCCCATATGAAATTGTAGCCTCTTAAAAATCCCTTAGATCTATGGGATGCCACCCTGTCTTATCATAACCTTGTTCCACACCATTAGCAGGCATGTGCTGGACATTTACTGGGAAAGTTGCCAGTGATTTCATACCCCCAGGCTGCCCGTCCTGTATCTCTGGCAGCATAGTTGGTTCAAGATTAACGATTTCTTTTAACTGGGCTGTTTCATCTTTTATCTGACTCTGCTACCTCCTCCTCCTCCCAGCTACCCACCCAGCTCCTCACCCCACACAGGGGCTACAGGAACCGGAAACTGAAAGTCCGAGTCACTGAGCAGGGCTGTGCTTGGCTTTTCAGCAGTTTCTTTCCCACTTTCCTCCTGAGTGGAACTCCCAATCTCTTGCTCAGTCATCGAAGTCTGACTCTTTATTTCTTCCTTTTCCAGTGCTTCTCACTCTCCAACACGTCCATTTCCACCCACATCTTTTTCCAGTTGCACAGCCAGCTCTGCAACTCTTTCAGAAATGAGAGAGCAGAATTAACCCTTTTGTTTTCCCATCTCAACCATTTTTTGTTTGCCTCTGCTAGAGCATGAGGTAAAATTGTAGTCAGCTGCTGGGGACAATGTTGTGGTTAATATTATTTGGGGGGAGGGGGTTCCACACCCCTTTATTGCCTTTAAATATCAATTAGGGGTTTCTACCCCACTTCAGATCATTTAGTTCCCAAATAAAAGACACAGAGACCTATAGATTTATAAGCTTTAAGCACAAGAGCTGGGAAGATATCAATCCTCTGTACTATTTTGTCTGTTTCTCTGTCAAATTTCCTAAGATATTACTTGCCATGTTTTGTTTAGGATGTTCTTGTTCCATCAAGCCAGCCCTCATGGCCATGTACTCTTAATTTACTCTACCCCATGGCAACCCCTTCCTTCTCTCCTCTCCTCATGGTCCCTGCCTGAAACTCCAAAGCCCCTGAAAACCTTTCTTCCTCCCCTCTCTTCTACCCAGCCCAGGCTGTAGGCATCTTTATTAACAAATTAGGATTACTTGGGGGACAGGATCTTCATAACATCATTTGGTGTATGTGAGAATCTCTTCATTGGGAGCAACCAGATCTTCGAGGCCAATGTTTAGTATTCAAACATAGTGTGAGTGTCCATGATTCACCAAAGAATGATACCCGGACTCAAATAGTATGCTAAAGCAAAGAGCATTTTATTCTGCAGAAGTCCAGCATGCTTGGGTCTACCATCTACCAAGATGAAGGCACCCCAATGAGCTCACAGGCCAGATTTAAAGCACATTAGGGGAACTCAGGGGAGGGGTAGGTGACCTCTATCTTAATCTGTTGGCTCTACCTCTAGGGACATTCCAGAACCATTGCTGGGGTGTGGTTGGTAGAAAACTGTTGCTGGGGAAGTCTGGAAACTGTTGCTGACCCATTCATTGTCCTTGCCTCAGGCCAGGCGGTTGGGCAGCTTCTGATGGCAGGGCAGTTTCTGACTGGCTGCCTGAGACCTGGGATTTTTGTCAGTAACTGACTTGCCTAGACTTGCCTGGATATGCCTAGTTCTTAGAAACATAGATTTGGGCCTAAGTCTCCAGAGCTGCCAATTTGAAGCCTGTCATGGAGTCAGCCTAGCCTGTCTCATTAACAGCACCAGACAAGCCCTATACAGGACAATCTGAAGCAGCCCTATATCCTGAGATTAAAATGAAAACCTATTCTCATAACACTTCTGTATTTTCAAAGAAACCAAAATTCTCACAACTATCTAAGTTTTTGACTCAATCTGGCTAAAATCCATGCCTGTGAAATTAAATAACTTGCCTACTGGGTTCCTGCCAGCACCAGATGAAATAATATTCTTTCTATTTTACTTTGGAGTTGCTGATATTTCAGTAATGACAGAAATACACAAACTATAAAATGTATAAATGATAGGCAAAATATATTATTTTATTACTGTCCTAGAGAACAGGTCTTGTTCTGATTTTGAACAGTTACCACTTCATAGCAAAATATGTTTTCACTCCTTGCCATTTGATGTGTGACAGGTGATACCTTTCTCAACAGGCTATCGAAGGGAACAAAAAATTAGAAGCTGAAACCTAGTTGTGCACTGACTAGATATGCTGATACTCCCTATCTTTATTATTTCTGAAGTACAAAAATCTATGATTTAATAAAGTAGACAATATCGTGCTTTGGGAATGTTGCTTTCTATTGAAACAATTTTCACGCACAGCTTGGACAGATAACGCCAGACCAGACAGTTCCACAAGTGGGAGTTTATTCAAGAGATAGGGAAGAGGAGAGAGAGAGCAGAGAGGTAGAGTAGAGGCCAGCCATGACCACGTGGAGAGAGGGGGAAGGGAAAGGGGGAGGGGAGAGGGCAACCTGCAGGCAGGGATCAACGGAGTAAGAGAGGAACAAGAGAGCGAGGAGGGGGCAAGCAGCCCCTTTTACAGTGGGCAGGCCTACCTGGCTGTTGCCAGGTAACTGTGGGGAGGAGCATACCTGGGTGTTGCCAGGTAACTGTGGAGGTGGAGTTTAGACAGAATACTAACATCTATGAATCAGACTATGACTGACTAAGAAAAAAAGTAAAACCTTCAAAACAGTGATAATCCAAGTCTTCAGCCAGATAGGTTTCCACCTTAGAAGATGCCTCTGAAACTCTAAATGTAGTAACCTACCAATTTCCACTTGGGAGGAGGGGGTGCCTGTGTCTGTCAGGGGACACATGTGCACATGTGTGTCTGTGTATATATATATGCATGTGTATATGGAAGTCAGAGGTCAGCCTGGAGTCTCACTCCTCAATAGCCACCAACCTTCAGTTTTTAGACACAGTCTCACATTGGGACCTGGGACTTACTGACCTGGGAATGGAACTAGATAGCCAGGGTGTCCAGGGATTCTTCTACATCTGCCTCCCCAGTGCCAGGATTACTGGGTATATGCCATATCTGGCTTTTACAGGAGTGCTGGAGGTCAAGCTTCAATCTTCATGCTTATACAGTAAGCATTTTACCATATAAAATGAATTATATATTCTAGCTAGCCCACATTAAAAAAAAAAACACAAAATCCTGGGTGTTTTATTTATAAGCTATATGACTAGACTGGGCAGGTGGTGAGTTATCCTAACTTATATCCCAGCCACATGTCCCTTGTTACTTGCTGCTTGAATTTCACTCAGGTGATTCCGGCTCAATCAGCTTGTCCTCAGGATCCACTTCTCCTACCACATGTTCCTGGTCCATCTCTTTTCAAGGTGGCCTCCTCCTCTCCCTGTCTCCTTTCTCCCTTCTCCCCTGGTCTCTCCTGAGACCCCTCACTTGATCCTCAAGTCCTGCCTCTCTTTCTCTACTAACCAATCATGGGCTCTAGTCTTTTATTTACCAATTAACTTTAAATTGGGAAGTAAGGTTTACAGAGAATCACTTGGTGTATGTGAGAATCTGTTCATCGGGGACAACCATATCTTGGGAGTCAGTACTGGGAACATTTGAATACATAGCATAATCCACATAGTATATTGATGCTGAAAAATGCACTGCTGAGATGTAACCTTTCTTCCCATAATTTGGTATATTGTTACAGCTTGTGGGGAAATGGCTCTACAAATTCCTACTGAGACGCAGAAAAGAAATTAAAGGCACTTCAATAACAGAATCAGAGGTAGCAGGCATTAACCATGAAAAGAAAAAGTAGAAACCGTTAACTAAGTCTACTTTCTATTTCACCCCAAGAAGTTCTGAGACATGAATTTATTTTTAAATGTACTGCTTTGTAAATTGTCACATTCAAAACATTCATTGTCTGAAAAACATTGGAAAAAGTAACTCTGATTAATAACAAATTCTCAGTGCTCTCTTATGGCCTGTAATATTCCAACTGCAGCACAGGGTGGCTATGGTAAAATAATACTGTGCTGAGCATTTTGAAATAGCTAGAAGGGAGGGATTTGAGTGTCATCACTGCTAAGAAGTGATAAATGTATAAACTGCTAGATGTGATCAATACCTTGATTTTATTATTGCATAGTCCCTAACATATTGAAACATCACACTACACCCTATGAACTATGAGCAATTATCTGTAAATTAAGATAAACTACACACACACACACACATACAAACATACATTGAACAGAAGTTATATTGACCTCACTGACCTTGGTTTTCATTGCAGACTTATCAATGAATCTTTGAGGGACCAGCTGTTGGTGACAATACAGAAGACCTTCACATACACTCGTACCCAAGCTCAGCACCTGTTCATCATCCTCATGGAGTGTATGAAGAAGAAGGAACTGGTATGTCAGCCCACATGAGAATGGGGCACTCTTCATGCTCCCAAATATTTGCTTTTTGCTTTAATTCTGTGACTTTTTCTCTCCTCCTAGCATTGCTTTCTCGGTCCTTCTGAGGTGCCGCTGGCTCCGGTACTGGTGGATTTTTTTTTTTTAAGTCTTGATTTTAACAAAGTGTATATAATATATGTAGCCAGGTTTCACACGTTCAGCTCATCGAAATACTTGAGATTATCTCAATCAAATGAGCTGAGGAAAGTGTAAAATTGGTTTCATCCTGGGAGGGCCCAGTTGATCCTCTCTTGGGCATAGAGTTTCACATTGCTTGTAAGTCAAGAGTCACTGGGTATTTCTTGTCAATGTATCATTAGTGACACAACATCCAGGTTATTGTGTTAAATAGTACAGGTAGAAAATAAATTGACTAACCTAGAAGTGCTAGAACATCTGTGCATAGTTCCTGGGTGCTGTCTTGCTGTTGCATTTATTTATTTACATTTCAGCCATTGTTCCCCTTCCCTGTCCCCCCTCCCACACTTCCTCATTCCATTGCTCTTCCCCTTTGCCTCAGAGAGGGGGCACCACCACCACCACCATCACCACTACCACCACCACCACCCACTCTTCACCCCTGCCATTTCTCCCACTTCCCTGGAGCCTCAAGTCTCTTGGGGATTAAGTATATCCTCTCCCTCTTACTGAGGCCAGACCAGGCAGACCTCTGCTATATATGTGTCAGGGACCTTGGACCAGCCTGTGTATGAGCCTCTGCTCAGTGTCTGGGAGCTCCTGGGGTCTGGGTTAGTTGAGACTGCTGGTCTTCCTATGGATTTGCCCTCCCTTTCAGTTTGTTCAATCCTACCCCAATTCGACCATGAGTTTAGGTATATTGGTTTGTCTCAGTCAGCTGTTGCTAGGGTCTCTCAATGGACAGCCATACCAAGCCCCCATCTGTTAGCACATCATAGCATCAGTAATAGTGTTAAACCTTGGTGCCCCACCATGAGATGGATCCCAAATTTGGCGAGTCATTGGACCACCTTTCTTTTAGTCTCTTCTCCATTTTTGTCCCTGCAGTTCTTTTAGACAGGAACTATTTGGGGTCAGAAATTTTGACTGTGAGTTAGTAAACCAGTCCCTCCACTTGAGGCCCTGTCTATCTCGTAGAGGTGGACTCTTCGAGTTTCCTCTCCCCATTGTTGGGCATTTTGACTAAGGTCATCCCCCTGGAGTCGTGAAAGTCTCTCACTTCCCAGATCTCTGATGCTTTCTAGAGGGTTCCCCCACTTCCCTCCCCCTAAGGCTGCATATTTTCATTCATTTTCCTGGCCCACTGGGCCTCTCTCTTGCCCCCCCACCATACCTGATCCTGTTCCCCTTTTCCCCTCCCTTCCCTTTCCCACCCAGGTCCCTCCTTCCCTCTGCCTCCCATGATTATTTTCTTCCCTTTTCTAAGTGGGATTGAAACATACTCACTAGGGCCTTTCTGTTTGTTAAACTATTTATGGTCTATGGGTTGCACCCTGTAGTGGGATATCTTCCCACTACATTTGTATAAAGCTCGGCAATTGGGCTGTATGAGAGGTAGGCGGAGTGAGGAGTTGGGAAGAAGGAAAAGGAGGAGGAGAAGGAGGAGGAGGAGGAGGAGGAGGAGGAGGAGGAGGAGGAGGAGGAGAAGGAGGAGGAGGAGGAGAGATGTAGGAGCCATAGAGAACCACGGGTCCAGGACGGTCCTGGGTAATGATTTATATCTTAAGGTTAGATATTGGGAAATACCTCCAATTGTGTGGGCATCTTGTTAATTGAGCTTTACCAAATACATAAAGCCTTTGGATAATCTTTAAGCACTAGAGTCACATTTCTACCGGGTACTGTGTGGATGGCGGGGGGTCTGGGCTCAGCCAAGCATTGTAGAGACAGCGTGGTAGATTGGCAGAGTCATCTCCCACGCTGGCATCTCGTGGGTGGCAGGGCTGGTGCATTTGGCCAGCATGAGCCTTGGTCAGAGTTGAGCAGCAGCGGGAGTATGATACAGCTCTTGGCCTCAGGCCTTGTCTGGTTGAGAACATGGTGACTCCGTAACAACAAGCCAGATTGGATGTCGCTACTTTAAATATTATCTTCAACAGTACCCTATGTTTTCTGTACTTTTTGGCTAATATCCACTTATCAGTGAGTACATACCAAATACATGTTCTTTTGTATCTGGGTTACCTCACTCAGGATGATATTTTCTAGTTCCATTCTTTTGCCTGCAAAATTCATGATGTCCTCGTTTTTAATAGCTGAATAGTATTCCACTGTGTAAATGAACCACATTTCCTATATTCATTCTTCTGTTGAGGGACATCTGAGATGTTTCCAGCTTCTGGCTACTACAAATAAGGCTGCTATGAACAAAGTGGAGCAAATGTCCCTGTGGTATGGTGGAGCATCTTTTGGGTACGTACCAATAGTGGTATAGCTGAGTCTTTAGGTAGAATTATTTCCAATTTTCTGAGGACCCACCAGATTGATTTCCAGAGTGGTTGTACCAGTTTGCAATCCCATCAACAATAGAGGAATGCTCCTCTTTCTTCACACCCTTGACAGCATGTACTGTCACTTGACTTTTTGATCTTAGCCATTCTGATTGGTGTGAGGTGGAATCTCAGGGCCATTTTGATCTGCATTTCTCTGATGAATAAGGACATTTCTTTAGGTGCTTCTCCACCATTTGAAATTCCTCTGTGTGAATTCTCTGTTTAGCTTTGTACCTCATTTTTAAATTGGCTTACTTGGTTTTTTGGAGGTTAGCTTCTACAGTTCTTTATATATTTTGAATATATATATCAGATGTGCCCTCTACCAGATATGGGGTTAGTGAAGATTTTTTTCCCAATCTGTAGGTTGCAGATTTGTCCTATTAACTATGTCCTTTGCATTACAGAAGCTTTTCAGTTTCATGAGGTCCCATTTATCAATTGTTGATCTTAGAGTCTGGGCCATTGATGTTGTGTTCAGGAAATTTCCACCTGTGCCAATGACTTCCAGATTCTTTCCCACTTTCTCTTCTGTTAGAGTCAGTGTATCTGCTTTTATGTTGAGGTCCTTGATCCACTTGGACTTGAGCTTTGTGCAAGGTGATAAATATGGATCTATTTTCATTCTTCTGTATACAGACCACCAGTTAGACCAACATGATTTATTGAATAGGCTGTATTTGTACCACTGTATGTTTTTTGATTCTTTGTCAAAGATCAAGCATCCATAGGTGTGTGGTTTTATTTCTGGGTCTTCTATTCTATTCCATTGATTGACCTGTCTGTCTCTGTACCAATACCATTTGGTCTTTGTCACTATTACTTTGTAGTACAGCTTGAGGTCAGGGATGATGATTCCCCCAGAAGATCTTTTATTGTTGAAAATTGTTTTGGCTATCCTGAATTTTTTTTGGTTTTCCATATGAAGTTGAGAAATGTTCTTTTCATGTCTGTGAAGAATTGTGTTTAGAATTTTGATGGAGATTTCATTGGATATGTAGATTGCTTTTGGTAAGATGGCTATGTTAATTATACCAATCCATGAGCATGGGAAATTGTTCCATTTTCTGAGGTCTTCTTCAATTTCTTTCTTCATGGATTTGAAATTCTTGTCATACAGATTTTTCACTTGCTTTGGTAAGAGTTACACCAAAGTACTTTATACTATTTGTGACTATTGTGAAGGGTGTTGTTTCCCTATTTTCTTTCTCACCCTGTTTATCATTTGTACAAAGGAAGGCTACTGATTTGTTTGAGTTAATTTTATATCCTGCCACTTTGCTGAAGTAATTTGCAAGTTGTAGGAGTTCTCTGGTGGAATTCTGGGAGTCATTTATGTACACTATCATATCATCTGCAAACAGTGATACTTTGACTTTTTCCTTTCCAGTTTGTATCCACTTGATCTCCTTTTGTTGTCTAATAGTTCTAACTAGAACTTTGAGTACTATATTAAACAGATACGGAGAGAGTGGGCAACTTTGTCTTGCTCCTGATTTTAGGGAGATTGTTTCCAGTTTCTCTCCATTTAATTTGATGTTGGCTGTTGGTTTGCTATGTATTGCTTTTATTATGTTTAGGTATGTGTCATGGATTCCTGATCTCTCCAAGACTTTAACATGAAGAGGTGTTGTATTTTGTTCAAGGCTTTTTCAGTATCTAATGAGATGATCATGTGACGTTTTTACTTGAGTTTGTTTATATAGTTATTACGTTGATGGATTTACATATATTGGACCATTCCTGCATTTTTAGGATGAAGTCAACTTGATCCTGGTGAATGATGGCTTTGATGTGTTCTTGGATTCAGTTTGCAAGAATTTTATTGAGTAATCTTGCGTCAATGTTCATAAGTGAAATTGACCTGAAGTTCTCTTTCTTTGTTGGGTCTTTGTGTGGTTTAGGTAAGAGAGTAACTGTGGCTTCATAAAATGAATTAGGTAGGGTTCCTTCTGTTTCTATTTAGTGGAGTAGTTTGAGGAGTATTGGTATTAATTTTTCTTTGAAGGTCTGGTAGAATTCTGTACTAAAATCATCTGACCCTGGGCTTCTTTTTGTTGGGAGGTTTTTAATGACTATTTCTATTTCCTAAGGGGTTATGGGATTGTTTAGATAGTTTACGTGCTCTTGATTTAACTTTGGTACGTGGCATTTGTCTAGAAAACCATCCATTTTACCTATATTCTCCAGTTTTATTGAGTACAGACACTTGTAGTACATTCTAATGATTTTTTAAAATTTTCTCAGTTTCTGTTGTTATGTCTCCCTTTTCTCATTTTGTTAATTTGGATACTGTCTCTGTGCCTTTTAATTAGTTTGGCTAAGGGTTTATCAATTTTGTTGATTTTCTCAAAGAACCAGCTCTTCATTTTGTTGGTTCTTTTTATCTTTCTCTTTGTTTCTAACTGGTTGATTTCAGCCCTGAGTTTGACTATTTCCTGCCATTTACTCCTCTTGGGTGTATTTGCTTCTTTCTGTTTT